GGGGAGGAGTCCCTCCTTGTAAAGTGTCACAGGAAAGATCAACATGATTAAGGCCCATTGCTTCTCAGGGCCCAGCCATGAGTCTGGTGTTCTATGTAGACCTAGGAGCCACACACACACACTGGTGTGAGAGGTGGGGAGTCGGGCAGGGGAAAGGGCCCTCTGACCGTCAGTCATGAGAATGATGACATGGCGGGTGTGGTTCCAGCCTTCAGGGGGGGTGTCCCCCGCCCAGCTCATCATGTTGTACACCGCCAGCAGGGCCTTCTTGGTGTTAGTCCCGGTCTTCAACTTGTGATCTGTGATAAAGAAAGAGATTGCCACCTCACGTAGTCTCCCAGGCCATCCTTGAACCCCAGAGGCCTGTTGGCAACAGATCCCACATTTTGCAACTGTTTTAGTTCATTGTCACCACACTGGCTTCCCTTTGACTGTAAACTGACCTTCTCAGTCCCTAACCTCTGTGCCCCACTGGCCCTGCTGTCCAACTATGTGCTACAAAGTGTTCTCCCTGCTCCAGGTGGTCTCAATACCCCTGAACCTTTTTTTTCTTTTTCTTAATCCTTTCCCAAGGATATTTTTCCCATTGCTTTTCAGAGAGAGTGGAAGGGAGAGAAGAGAAAAAAAAAATATGTGAGACACACGTTGACTGGTTGCCTCCCGAACGCACCCTGACAGACTGGGGATCGAGCCTGTAACCCAGGCACATGCCTTTGGCTGGCATTGAACCCAGGACCCTTCAGTCCGCGGGCTCATGCTCTAACCACTGAGCCAAACCGGCTGGGGCCTCCCGAACCTTTTGACCTCTTTGACCCCAAGGTGAACCTACCACCGTCCCCTCCCACCGCTCCCTCCCCTGACTCCTGACCTTCATAGCTGATCTTGTTGAGCTGCTCTGTGACCCAGTCTGCATTGCTGCTCTCTGCATCGGACACTTTGATCAAAATGTTGGTGTCTGTGGCATACGTCACTAGACCATATTTTGGCTTCACCCCATAGCTTGCCACCTGAGGGAAGCAAAAGGTAATGGCACTGCAAGTAGAATACTTTGCTGGGACAAGGAAGGTCACACTAAGAGACTCGAGGGCTGACTGGTCACCGGTTCACAGGGGAGTCTGGGTTAAAGGTCACGATACTGCTTCAGTAAAAGGGACGGAGAGCAGAGTAGGAGCTGAGGACTTCCTGGAACCCTGTGGCTCAGAGGGGCTGGAAACACCAGGAAGCTAGTCCCGTCAGGGCAGCGAGATCCACTCGGGGTCCCCACGTTGAAGGAGAGGGCTCCACCTTCTCAATGAAGTCTTTGAGACAATTCTTGGCTCCTGTGAAGTTACGCGCCCCAACGCTGTCTGATCCATCCAGCACCAGGTAGATGTTCATGGAGCCCGAGGGGTCCAGGACAATCTTCCTCTTCTGTTGTTCCCCTGGGTGCCACCAGAGACACTGAGGCTCCAGCAGGCATGGCTCTCCTGCCCCTTCTCCATCCCCCCAGTTCCCTGCCCCACCTCCCACGCTGCCTTCACACCTGGGCTGTGCCCATCCTCAGCATCCGCTCCTTCTATAGTCTCTGTCAGGGAAGACAGGAAGGCTTCGGCCACCTCCCCGGGGGTATCGTACATGAAGGAATCTGGGAGAGGTCAGAAGTCAGGTCAAATATCTTGGAGGGTCAGGGACCCAGTGACCAGAAAGACGGGGGATGGTGGGTTTCCAGAGTGGGAAGGGCTCAGGAGTAAGGAAGCTTTACAGGGAGGTTAGAAGCAGAAGGAGCTGGGTGGGGAGAGGGGAGGAAGACAGTGCCCTGGTGTGGGGACTTGCAGATGAGAGAGCAAGATCTGACCTGAGGGCATAGGTCAAGGGTCACCTTGGCAAGAAGGCTCCGTTCCACTCCAAGAGCCACCTTCCTGGCATGTCCGCTGCTGGGAGCCACGCAGGGTGAGTCCCCGGCTGCAATAGTAGGTGACACTGTCTTCAAGGCGGTACTGGCTGCCCACCTTCCTTGTGCCAATGGGGATGCCTGGGTTGGGGCAGTACCCCGCTGCAGAGGCATGAGACACGGAGGTGAAGGCCAAAGTCGGAGGCCCGAGGGCAAGGTAGGGTCCGGGAGCTGTGATGCCAGTTCCTCCGGCTCTGCATGGATCGGGGACAGGCTCCCATCATGGGGGAAGGCAATGCTTCTCACCTCCATTGTCACAGATGGCCGTTTGCCCGTCCCACCGGCCAGTCATTTGGCAGCTGCGATTGGCAGAGCCCCGGAGAGTGTAGCCATCATAACAGTGGAAGGAGATCTCATCACTCAGATTGTAGTAGGGAGCTCGAGGCCAGTACTCCCCATTCTCAAAGTCCTGTGGTCTTGGGCAACGAATTGCTTTGGGGGAGAGGGATAATCAGAAGTTACTGAGAGGGAAGGGCTGCCCTTTAGAGTATCCCTCCTGGTTTCAAGGTCCCTGTGGCTGAGGAAAAGCATCTCGGTCCCACAGGAGCAGCATCTACCCCTGACCCCTGGAGGGTCCCTCAACCCATGGGGAGTCCCACTGCTCCTCCCTCCCGTTCCTGAGTGTTCTGTTTACTGCCAGGCTGCCTGGTACTGGGTAGATGCTGAGTAAAGGCTGATCCCCCTCCTCCTTTCTCCTTCCTACCTCCAAGCCCAGACAGCTCCTACACTGCTCAGCCCGACTTGTCAGCCTGCCTGGTCTCAGCACACTAATCTCATCCTATTTGGGACCTCGGCCGCCACCTGCTCCAACCCTTTGCTGGCCCATGCCCACCCTCACTGCCCTCCAACCTCTGCATTCTGCCTTCTTGACAATCTTTTGGTCTTTGGTCCGCAGGGTGCTCCAGGACCCTGTGGATCTGCAGGTGCGCACCTGCACAGGGTATGGGTAGAAGCCAGAGGGACACACGTACTCCAGCACCTGGCCCTCCTTGAGAAGCTGGAAAGAGCCACCTTGGATCGCTACTCCCTCCAGAGAGCAGGGGCTTTGGGGCTCAGCTGCAGGCAATGGCGTTGCACCCACACCTAAGAAGACAGGCTGATGAGGCCTGGCCTGACAAGGCCAAGGAGAGATGCTAGGGGCAGCGGGAGCAGGGGCACCCTGGCTTACCTCCAGACAAAAGGCCCAAGACCAAGGGTAGGAGGCAGAGCCAGTGGCTGGGATTGCTCCGCATGGCCGTGGAAGGAAGGGGAGAGGCTGGGGCTGGAGGCAAGGCAGCCTTCCCCAGCTTGTGCTGCATGTCCGTTTGGCTGTGTCCAAGCTGAAACTTCAGACTTGGGCCAGGTCACACTCCCTTCCTCTACCCCCTACAACCTCCAGCCTTTTATGCAATTGGAGTGCTGGCACCTGTGGTTCACCTTGCCTGCCCTACCCACATCACTTTCCGGAATGTCCAAGAGGGAGGGCCCCACTGAGCTGCCAGTCAAGGAAATAGAAACTGTATATACACCACCCTTTGTTGCCCAAGGTCCAGGACTTTCCCTTCAACAGCTCCTCTTGGCCACAGTTCCTCCCCAAAGAGCACAGACCACCCCCCTAGAGACCAGAAATGAGGCCCCGGTGGCTCCCCTGTTGACTGTGGTATGGAGCAGAGTCCCTGTTTGTCCAGCAGGGTCTCTGACCTGCCTCCAGCAGTTCCTGGAATCACTCCTACCTTCCCCACCCCCACCCCAGGTAGAACACAGACAGATGTGGAAATCACTGATTTTTATTAGGTTCATAACTGGGAAATTTCACTGAAAGTGAAAGAAGAGTGAGTCCCGTAAAGCCGAGGATGGGCTGGGCTTACTCAGGGCGAGGAGTGAAGATCAGTCATGGGGTCTGAAGGCAGAAATTCAGAAGTAGGACATGGGAGAGAGAGTAGGTTCCTCAGGACAACAAAGGGGTCAGAGGGCATGATTACAGGGGCAAAAAGTTCAGGACGCCCTCCAGGTGCTGCCTCAGCCAGGGTTGCAGGCGGAAGAGATTGATGTGAAAATCACGGGGTGGGGGGACCCTGCCCTTGGGGGCTCTCTTGCGGGAGTTTTCTCTGGAACTGTCACAGGGGTTGTAGAGACCCCAGCTTACCAGGCCCACCTGGAAGAAAGAGAGAATGGGACAGGAGGTGGCCACAGCCCCAGATCCAAACCCCAACCTCCTGGTTCCTTCAGAGGCCTCCCTTGTCCCCCCAACAAGGCCAAGATCCTGTAACCCCAGTCCTGTGAGCTCTCCTCACCTGGAAAAACCTGAATCTGCGCTCAAGGAAAACTGCTCCCCCAGATTCTCCTGTAGAAAGAAGGGACAAGAGACTGTCATCCTGACTCTCACCCTGCTCCCCTGTCTCAGGGCAGTGCAGGCAGGCTAGCCACCAGGGGCCCCCTCCCAAGAACCCGGCTCCAGAGTGGGTGTGGGGCATTCACCCTTGCAGGGATTATCATCACTCTCCATCCCACTGCATAGGAACTGGTCTGTCACCACCTCTCCGACATCTGTCAAGTTGGGGAACGCAGTTTTGTATTGGGAGACCACCTCAATACACCTTGTCCACTGCAGTGGGAGTGGAACAAGAGAGAAGGTGGGATGAGCAGGCCCAGGGGTATCTGGAAGTCCAGCTAGACCTGGGATGAGGGGTGACGGGGTCAGATGGAGAAAGCATCCAGAGCTGGAGGAGGCAGAGACATTCTGCGTGATGCCCAGGGGAAGCCCACCGCCCCGCAGCATCCCAGACCTGAGAACCTCACCTCTGTCCCTGTCTTGAGGTTAATGTTCAGTTTGCCCCCATTCAAGGCCACGAAGTGAGCAGGAATGCTCAGTTTGTTCAGCAGTTCGCTCTCTGCAGCCAAGAAGAAGGGGAGGTTGGTGCTGGTCCCTTTATCCAGCATCCAGACTTCTGACTTGGGGGCAGGAAGACAGCCCATGTCATCACCCCCAACATCCGAAGCCCCAGCACTCACCGTGATCTCGGCAAGTGCTGCCTGGGGGTCTCCGCAGAGCCAGATTGGCCCCCACCGTGCAGGGAAGGCAGATGGGCCTGGGGAGAAGGGGGGGTCACACAGGCCCGTCCTTGGTGCCCTTCCTCAGGGCTCCCCAGAGTGCTCCACCCCTGGTGCCTGCACCTGGCATGGGTGGACATCTTCACTTTCTGAGCTAGCTTCAGCAGGGCAATGTCATCACCATAGAACTCCAGGATCCCCTGATGCTTCTTGGCAGAGATATCAAAGCCAGAGGAGATCACCACCTTCTCAATCTGGAACTCTTTGCCCAAATGGGAGTTGGGATCCCCTGGGAACAATATGGTAGATTAGGCTGGGCCAGAGCTCCCGATGGGGACAAAGGCTAGGGACATGGGGTGGGAGCTCTGGCAGCAGGGTCGGGAACCCGGTGGGGGCCTTGCCTTACCCACAATGACCCTCCACAGGGAATGGTCATTGTCGTGATGGAAGCAGTGAGCAGCTGTCAGGACCCACTGGTCGGAGATGAGGGCCCCCCGGCAGGTCTCCCGGCTCTTGGGCTGCAGGGGGACAGGTGACCTTCAGGGACTGTGGCTCTCCACCCATGGCCACATTCACCTCTGGGATACAAGCCCCATCCCTCCTTCTTGGTACCTTGATAGTGACATGCCAGGGTGTCCTCTCCTGGGCAGATGCATTAGCTGACATATTCCCCACCCCACATATGGTGTCTATGAGCCGGGAGACATCTGTGGGTGTGAGGAGCAGATGGGGAAGAAGGCAGGTGACTGGCACTGTGAGCAGGTTCCCAACCTGGCCCCTGGCTGGCCTCTCACCGCCCTGCCCACTCTGGGAAGGGTGAATGAAGCTCACTCACCGAGCATGTGCTCAAAGACCTGGTACAGAGCCTTTGTGTCCTGCAGGATGAAGGCATGCCTCTCGCCGTCCTTCTTGGATCCCAGCTCGTTCAGCTCCCTCCAGTCCACATCCAGCCTGCCCACCCCGATGGCATAGATGTCTGGTAGGGAGGAGGAAATCATCAGAACCTCGTGGCAAGGGGGCTACCCCGTGAGACAGGAGGCTGTACATAGAGTTCACTGTGTCCCACAGAGCCCTACGTGAGCCCCACCTCCACCCTCATACCCATCTGACTTCATTTCCTACCACTGCTCGCTCCCCTTCACTCTCTCCCAGCCACACAGCCTTCCGAAGCTCCTCAGATTGGCAGGCACACTCCCACGCAGGCCTTCCGCACAGGCCACGCCTCTGCCCGGTTCACTCCTCCCCAGCCTCCCCACATGGCTCACTTTCTTACCATTTCAAGTCTTGACATCACTGTCTCTGCACGCTCTTCCCTGACCTTGCTCTCTGAAAACGCAGTGCCCCAAACACCTCCATTCCCTGCCTCCTTCATTTTGTACCTTAGCACCTGTCACCACCTACCATGCCTTGTGTAGTCCTCATTTCTCTTGTTTAATACCCACAGTGGGTAGAACTGTGGCCCCCAAAAGGATATGCTCAAGTCCTAGCCCCAGCAACTGTGAGTGTGACATTTGAAAGTGGGGTCTTTACACGTGTGATCAAGCTAAGAAGAGGTCAGCGGGGATTAGATCTGACGCCTGGTGTCCTGGTAAGAAGAGGGGGGCTTGAACACACACAGGGAGACTGCTACATGACGACACAGATACGCCGAGGGAAGGAGGGCATGTAAAGATGGAGGCAGAAGCTGTTATCCTGCCACAAGCCCGAAAATGCCTGGGCCACTAAGAGCTGGAAGAGGTGAGGAAGGAGCCTTCCTAGAGCCTCCAGAGGGAGCATGGCCCTGCAGTCACCTTGATTTTGGACTTCTAGCCTCTTGAACGTGAGAGAATGAATTTCTGTTGTTTTAAGCCACCCAAGTTTGTAGAATTTGTTGCACCAGCCCTAGCAAACTAATACATTGGCCCCTACAGAAGGACACCCCCAAGCAGGCCGGCGTTTTTGTCTACAGCTGTATCCTTAGCACGTTGCCTAGCCCAGGAAAAGCTCTCAGAAGTACTTTTAAGTGACTAAATAAATAAGAACTCATGAGCATAGCGTGGAGGCAGAAGTTCAGATCTGGTCTTCCTCTGTAAACGCAGGCTCTAGGACTGGAGAGCCGGCCGCCATAGGCATCCAGGCACCGCCTCTGGGCGAGCGGGTGCCAGGCAGAAGCGCCCGTGGGGGCCCGAGTCCCGCCTCCTCCCACCCTCGCGCCCCTGGCCCTTTTTCTCTCCCCGAGGGCCCTGTGTTGTGTGTCAGGGTGCGATGCTCAGACTGTGAGAGGAGCCTGCCTCAGGCAGCAACCTGCTCTTATGCCCCGCATGTCCTCCATTCCCCTTCAGTTCCTGCTTCTTTTTAATTGTGTTTTTGAGCCTTTTGCCCTGGGCCGCGGTGCTAAGGAGCAAGGGTGTGGGGTTTGGGTCCTGCCTTCCCTGGGCCAGAGTTTTAAAGAGGGATCTGCTTTCCACTGGGGGGGGGGGGCAACAGAAAAGACAGGTCAGGGAAAGTGAAACTTGGGGTATCAAACACCAGCTCCCTTCCCTTGTCTGGGGCCCTGCTCTCTGATCAAAGGTCAGTGCAATTTGTATTTTGTCTGAACCTGAGGAGCTGTCTTTTGGAGTCTGCAGCTGCCAACGCTTTAGTTGCTTATCTGTCCTACTGCGAGGGGAAATGCCTGGGACAGTCCCCACAGGAATCCAGGCCTTTTCCTCCTGGAGAGGTTCATGGGACACAAAAGGGCGGGTAATGAGGAGGAGGTTGGAGAGCGCTAACACTCACCGCGTCGCTCTGCGCCAGGCAGCGTCTGAGCGGTCGCCCGTCAGCCTACAAGCCCCCCTCTTACAAGTGAAGAAACTGCCCACAGCCACAGCCAAGCGAAGCCCGAACCACAGTTGAAACCATGGGAGGTTTGTCTCCCGACTCTTCAACGTGGTACTCAGCTGCCTTCATACGGAACGACGCAGCCGGGGGCGGGGGGGGGTTCTCCATAGAGAGAAAGCCATGGTGCTGGACCCCTGGCTGTGGGCCGCGTGCTCCCTGCAGGGGCGGCACAGAAGGGGGTGGGGGTGGAGGCTCACCCAGGTAGTCGGTCCTCTTCTGGTTGATGCTTAAGATCTCTTTGATATTGTCAACAGCTTCCTTGGGAGACCCCCCCATATTGGACTTTCCTAGAACAGGGAGGGAAAAGACTGTTCGTCTGGGTGGATATGTCAGGATTCCCCATGGCCCGGGAGGAGTGGGGAGACATTCATCCTGGGAACCTCAACACCTACACTTCCTACCCGAGTTTTACTGAAATTCTCTGCACTTCAGGCACTGGGCCAAGAGCTTCATTTACTTTATTTCATTTAATTCTCATGAAAGCCCAGGAAGTGTGGGTATCCTCATGTTATAGACAAGAGCACAATTCCGGTGGAAGACATAATGTGGACACAATCCAAGGCTCAAGGACAGCCCAGATCCACACAGGTGCCCTTGCATCGCTCTAACTTCGCTGCTACAGAGCGGAGCCTCGCGCCCCAGCTGGCTCACTCTAGGTGACCTCCCAGGTAGTGACAACCAACATTTTATCATCACAAAGCATTTTACACAAACTACTTCAATTTCTCTCCATAAAAACTGTGTAAGGAAAGGAAGGCAGCTATCATTTTCATCATTGTCATCATCATTACTGTTGTCACCTTCAACACTATTTCTACTTCATAAGTGAGAAACAGAGGCCAAGGTGGCCGAGGGAGGAGAATGCAGCTCTCGGACCCCACCACGATGCTCCACCACTGCGCCAGCCCCGCTCGCTCACAGAGACCCTGGCACCCACCATCTGTCAGAAGGATGATGGCATGTCGGATTTCCTGCCAGGCCACCGTGTTCATGCCCAGGCGCTGCATTTGGTTATTCATCATGATATAGACACTATTTAGGGCCCCACGGATGTTGGTCCCGGTCCCATTTTCATGGTCTGGAATATGCAAAGAGGAAGGGAGAAGGGAATCACTCTCTTTCCCCCAAACACTGGAAATGAAGTTATCAGCTGGTTTGATAAACTCAGACCTTGGATATCCAGACAGAGACCTGGCATCATTGCCTGTTCAGGCATTAAGAGCCATTCCCCTTAGAGGTGCTCATTGCACAACCCCAATCCAAGGCCACTCTAAAGTTCCCAGATGCATAGATGGGTTCTCCAAAGAACTTGGGTTGTGTTAGCATCTGTTGCCTACCCCGAGGTAGTTTACCAGGACATGGGAGACCACAGTGCTAAGCCACGAAAACCAGACCCTGTGATGCTGGCATCAGGGAAGAGCCCAGACCTGTACAATACACTGGACGTGCAGCACGTTAAAGGAAGGCAGGAGCTGGTGGGAGCTGGGATGCCCCCGCCATGAACCTGATGTCAAAGCCTCAGACTTGAATGCCACCAAGAGGCCCCTCTCTCTCTAATCTGTCCAGATCTTTCTGCAGGACACTTATCTTCTCCCTGCCCCACCCCTTCATTTGATGGCATCCGTACCTTTGTAGTTGATTTTTTCCAGACTGTTGATCACTTCGGTCACATCTCGGGAGCTGTCCTGCAGGACAGACATGATGACTTTCGGCTTTGATGCGAAGGTGATGATGGCGACACTCACGTTGATCTCAAAGCTGAAGATCTGTGAAGGGAAGTGAGAGGTGGTGTAAGGGGCCCTGAAACCGAAGGGTTGCTGGTAAGAGAGCAAACAAAGGGCCCTGGAGGAGGCTGAGAACCTGGACTGACAAAGTCAAGGCCCGTGCATAGACACATCCTAAGAAACTGCTGCTTGGAAGAACTCCGGAAACTGACACGTGTTGACCATCTACTCTCTGATAGGCTCACTCCTCATTTAATCTTTTTTCTTTTTTGTACTTACTGATTTTAGAGAGAGAAGAAGGGAGAGAGACAGAGAGAGAGACTGGTTTGCTGTTCCATCCATTTATGCATCATTGGTTGACTCCTGTATGTGCCCTGACTGGGGATCAAACCCACAACCTTGGCATATCGGGACAATGCTCCAACCACTGAGCTACCCGGCCAGGGCCTCATTCAATCTTCACAACAACTCTGTGAGGGGAGCATGACAGTCCCTAGTTTACAGATGAGGAAACTGAGGCTTTGTTACCTTTCCCCATGTCACACCACTGGTAAGAGGTGGAGGTAGGATTTGAACCTGTCGGTGCTACTCTGAGGCACCCAATGGTCATATTTTGCAGCCTCATGGTTCAGTAAATTACTTAAGTTTAGGTCCTAAGAGAGACTCTAAGGAACACAGAAACTGCCTTCTTTAAAATGTAGCTGGGAGGAAAAACATATGTCTATATAAACTATTGTGAAAAGCATAAACACCAAGCAAATGTGGGCAGTGACTCTAAATCATGGCTTCCAAACTCTTCTGTTTGTGCATCTCATTAGCAAGGACGTTTTGAGCACATACCCCAATAAAGGCATATATACTTGTGAACTATACTCATATTTATAAAGTGTATCACTGTAAACACACAAAATATTGAAATGTTTTCAAATTATTAAATATTAAGTTATTAATTTAATTTAAATTTAGATTATTCAACAGGGATACCAGTATTTTCCTGCCATACCCAGTGGATTATCTTGTGTACCCCCTGTGGAGACCTCCGTTCTAGATGATGAATTCCTAAAAACTAAGACCTCAGTGTTGTTCACCTTTGGTGTTACCCAGCACCCAGCACAGTGCCTGCTATATAGTAGGTGTTTGTGGAATTTAAAATGTGGTCCTGTAAATTGAACCCATGACTCCTTCATCGCAGGTATATAGTCCAGGAGGACTCCTTGAAGGAGGTGGGCTGTGAGTGGGATTCTGAGCAAGGGAAGGAGACAGAGAGAGGCAGTGGGTGCAAGAAGTCCTGCTCTGTGCCCAGGCTTCTGTTTTCTGACCCTGTCCACCATGAGGATGGCACTGTCCTTGAAGATACTGAAGTCTTCCTCTTTCACACTCTGAGAGGCATCCAGGAGCAGGTAGAGGTTCAGGTGACCAGATCGCTGGATTTGGATTTTTCGGCCCACGCTTTCTGGGAGAAATGTAGAAGGGGAGGATTCAGATTTCCCCTCCGGCCTGCTCTCTTACCAAGGGGCTCAGGCCTCCCCTCCAGTCAGCTCAGCTCTGCTGAGCCCACCAGAGGCCGAACCTCCATGAAGCCTGCCCAGCAGCCTGCTGTCCCACCACAAGCACTCACCCTTCTTCTTCTGGGTGGGGTTGGTGGATCCAAGCAGGTGGGACAAAGAGGTGCCCAGGGCAGGGGCCACGTCCTCAGGAAAGTCGTAAGAGTAGGGTTCTGTGGGGAGAGCCGCTGGGGTTAGCCAGGGCCGGGGGTTGGGTGCCCAGCAGTCTAAGGAGGGCCAGGGTGGCTACTCACGGCGGCAGATGGGCTCGGTCCCACTCCAGACCCCGTTGCCCTGGCACTCCCGCTCTGCAGACCCTGTCAGCACCAGATTCACGGAGCAGCGGTAGCTGACCTTGTCCCCAAGGCCAAATCGGGACCCAGTCCGCACAGAGCCCACGGAAATGCCCGGGTCGGGGCAGTGGCCAGCTGCAAGGGAACAAAGGAAGCTGGAGGTGAGCAGGGACCCACCACCTCAACCTCTGGCCTACTTACCCACCCTCTCCCTCCAGCTCTTCCTCCTCTCCAGCCCCCCAGAGCCTCTTTGGGCCCCTTGGTCTCCCCAGTGGGTGTGGATAGAAAACCTTAAAGAGGGCCAAATATTTAGAGCTCAGTGGGCACGGCTGACAGCTAAAGCACCCAGTCCCAGCCCAGGGACTCAGTCTGCATCCATCCAGAACCCAGGGGAGAAGGCAGCAGAGAAGCCCACCTCCAGAGAGGGCATTGGCACTTCCTAAGCCAGCGAGTCCTCGCTGCACACCCACCAACACAGCTAGAACTAAAAAGATGGTAATTCCGGCCCTGGTTGGTAGCTCAGTTGATTAGAGTGTCCTCCCGATACACCAAGCTTGCGAGTTCAATCCCTGGCCAGGGCACATACAAGATCAACCAATGAATGTATAAATAAGTGGAACAACAAACTGATGTCTCTCCCTTTCTCTCTCTAAAATCAATAAATACAGCCCGGCCGGGTGTGGCTCAGCGGTTAAGCATCGACCTAGGATCCAGGCGGTCAGGGTTCTATTCCCGGTCAGGGAACATGCCCAGGTTCGGGCTGGAGCTGATCAATGACTCTCTCATCATTGATGTTTCTATCTCTCTCTCTCCCTCTCCTTTCCTCTCTCTGAAATCAATAAAGATACATTTTAAAAAATAAAATAAAAAATAAAATAAAATCAATAAATACAAATCAAAACAAAAAAAGACGGGTAATTCCAAGTGTCGGACAGGATGTGAGTCCACTGAACTCAGCTACATTGCTGGAGTGTCAGTGAAGCTGCCTGCTGCCTCCACTAAACTAAACATGCGGACCGGGATGGGTAATTCCACTCCCAGATAATATGCTCAAGAGAAGCAAGTGCACAAAAGTCATGTACGAGACCATTCACAGAGCTCTTCTTATAATAGCCCCAAACTGGAAGTAACTCAAATGCCCATCAACAAAATGCATATATAAATTATAACATATTTATATAATGGAACTTCACAGCAATAAAAAATAAACTGCGATGAGCAGGGCAGCATGGATGGGCCTCCCAGGCAGAATGCTGAATAAAGGGAGCCAGGTGCAGAAGAGCACACTCTGTGTGATTCCATTTGTATGAGGCTAAAAACAAGCTAAACTAACCTGGGGAGACAGAAGCCAGAAGAGTGGTTGCCTTGTGGGAGAGGATAGGGGCCTCCTGCGATGCTGGACATGTTCTCACTCTTGGGTGGTGGTTACATGGGTGGATACATGTGTAAAAATTCATCAGGCTGAATACTTAAGATTTGTAGGCTTTACTATAGGTAGCTTTTACCTCAATTTTCAAACAGATTGTATTTATGTTTGAATAAATGGCTACTTGGCAGAGTCAAGGACACGAGCAGGGAGCTGACGCTGGGCCGCCTGGCAGGGCATGGTCCTGCGTCTCAGGGACCCTGTGTCCTCTGCATCATGTGCTCGGAGCTATGATCCAGGAAGCTCCCAAAACCCACAGGCAGATGTGGCTCCAGGAGTTCTGAGAGCCCCACTCTGTCCAGCAGAGCCCCTCACCATTCACTGGGACAGCAATAGCCATGACAAAAGCGCACGCGGCACTTACCAGGTTCCAAGGCCTGTTCTAGATGCTTACTAATATCAACTCCCTTCACCCACAGAACAGCCCCCTTTAACCTCTCTATGCCCCAGTTCTCACAGCTGTACAACGGGGATAGTCAGCACCATTACTATCCCCATTTTACAGACATGAAAACTGAGGCATGGAGAGGATAAATAACCTGCCCAAAGTCTGTCAAGGTCAGAGGCAGGCTTGGAACCCACCCCGGCTCCAGGGCCAAGTCCCTAAAGCATGACATCCTCAGCATATAGTCCGTCCTGCAATCCCATGGGGCCTGAATGCCCACCTTGCTTTGAGGCATTTGGAAAAGCTAGGCAGTGTGTGGAGCCTGTATGGTGGAGCTCAAGCTTAGAGCCGGCTGCCTTGGCTCGGGCTCCCCGCGGGCCAGTGATGTGTGACCTGTCGATCTCAATTTACCGAAATCCAGGAATATTATTTTGACACTAGAAACACAAGGTCCCTGTCCCCACAGAGGCTCCCTGGACACCGGGCTGGCCCCAGGGTTCCTGGAATTCCCCAGCCATCAGTCAGGCCACTCACCGCCATTGTCACACACAGCCGTCTCCCCGTCCCACATGCCGTTGGGGCGACAGTGCCGCACGGGTGAGCCCCGCAGCACGAAGCCATCCTCGCACTCGAAGCTCAGGTTGCCGCCCACAGGGTGGGACCCCAGCCGTGGGGTGTACATGCCATTCTCAAAGGAAACAGGGGCTGGGCAGCGAACAGCTGGAGAGAGAGGGTATGGGAATACAGGGATAGACGGGTAACACCTGGGCTGGGCACCGCGTGGGTGACCTTTCCCTGCGTGCGTGGGGACAGCCCACTTGCCCTCCGCATGTTAGGTCGATACCGCGCGATTGGGTGAACGCTGGCGGGCTCACGCAGGTGGACCCAATGCACTGATCGACAGCCACTTCTCTCAGCCCCTCTCCTGGGACCCAGCTGACCCAGGAGTGGGCGGCCCCATGCGGTCAACTGTTAAGTATTTGGAAAATCATCCTGGCGTTCAGCACCCCGCAATCTCCATCGAAGCCTGCCTCCAGGGCCCTGCCGTGGGAGGCTGCCCTTTCCCCGCTATCTTGCAAAGCCCCAGGGAAAGCAGCGCTGCCCCCTCCCACACCGTCCAGTCAGGTTAGGCCCACTCCAAGCAAACCCCAGAGAGGCTCGGAGCTCGCGGGGACCCCGAGCGGTGCCACGGGAGCCTCACGTTTGCAGACCGCCTTTCTCAGCTGGGTGGATCTCGGGGTGCGCCACCGGCCGTTGCTCAGGCACAGTCTGGATGCGGGGAGTGGGTACCAGCCCAGGGGGCAGGAGTAGATGAGGACGCTCCCCGGGCCCCAGCCATGGCTGAGGGTGAAATTGCCACCAGAGATCTTCACGTTCTGGGGGCAGGAGGGTGCAGCTGCAGCCACGCCTGTGGGCATGAGGACAAGACTCAGAAACGGAGGAGGGAGGGAGGCACCACCCTAATCCTTGGGCCTGGCGAGGGAAAAAGGAAAGCAGAAGAGACCGTTTCCAGTGTGGGGGGGGCCACCCGGGGGGGGGCCCCGACCAAAGACCCCAGCATCCCCCTCCCTTGCTCCTACCTGCGTACAGGGGCAGCAGGCAAAGCAGAGCCCCGAGTGAGCCCATGGTGTCCAGCGTCCGGGCAGGGAGAGGCAGCAGGCCCAGCCGGAGAGGGAAAAGGTCATCTGACTTCCCGAAAATCAAAGCTGGCTTAGCAGCCGCTTCATTTGCTGCCAGAGAAGAAAACTAGGGAGTGGCCAGGGGGTGGCCTCCAGCGGGGAGAAAGCATTCAGGGGCTGGGGCCTGAGCTGAGGGCGAAACCTGTGCCCTAACCCCAATGTAGTCATGGTGTCAGCGCATGCACCCAGGCCTTGGCGTGGGCTGCGGCCTTGCCCGCGGACACACAGCCCTGCACACACTCTTGCATGAATAGTCTAAAGCCCACAAACCCACCAACCACCCAAGATATTGCAAAACCCCTCACTTAAAGTTTCAGTTTTCTTATGGGTTTCCCCGAGTGGACTTGGCTTCTTGATAGCCTGGGATAGTGTTGCCTTCTTGAACATAAACCTCCAAGAGATTGAGACGCGTTTTCTCAGAGCTTCTTGATACATAGGAGTAGTTAGGATCTTCCCCTTCCCCTCCGCCCTTCCTCAAGGAGAATCCGGGAGCAAAACATGAAACCAACACTTAGTTTTAGAGACTGGAAAATGTTTAGAACATTTTTAAGAAAAGTTCAGTAGATAAAATTCCCAACTTATAAAATAAATAAATATTGGGTTGGTTACTCAAAGGATTAAAAGTATTTAGGGGTTTGGGGCGAGCTTTCAAATTAGAACCTGCATTGTATGAAATGCAGGAAGCAAAGGGACCCTGAGCTGGTGCGTTAGCCTCCCCATTGCACAGAACTCTCTCTGCTGCTTCCTCAAACTGTGAGGGAGAGATGAAAAACATCCGTCAAAAGTAAAGATGAGCCCGGCCGGGCGTGGCTCAGCGGCTGAGCGTCGACCTGGGATCCAGGCGATCAGGGTTCGGTTCCCAGTCAGGGCACGTGCCCGGGCTGCGGGCTCGATCCCCAGTCCAGGGCCTGCAGGAGGCAGCCGGTCGTTGACGACTCTCTCATCATTGATGCTTCTCTCTCTCCCCCTCCTTCTTTTCTCTGAAATCAATAAAGATTTTTTTCTTTTAAAGTGAAGACAAAACGTCTTTCAAGTTATCAATTAAGTTTCTGAAAACTCTTTTGATTTACAAATAACTCCTCAGAAACACACATACACAACATGGGGTTCCCTTGGGCCCACTGACTGAAGGCGGGGAGACTGTGACACCCTGGTTTTGGGGGTCCCAAAGCTGCTGCTGTGGCAGAGTTCTGTCCCTAAAATAAAAGAGGAGCATGCTCTCCCCTTCCGATGCACTGGCCTACAGACCTGATGGTGGTTCGAGAACAACGAGGCAGCAGAGGAGCCCAGGGCCCGCCGCTGTGCTGGTGTCGTTCTAGCCCTGCCCACCTGCTCCAGCGGTTACAAGAGAGACATAAACTACCTGAAGGGTGCTGGACATTAGAGATGTTCACCAATATCCTGGCTTTGCCTCCTTTCCGTCACACAGTAGGACTGAATCTCCCCACTCACTGCCTTGGCCAATAAAACCCGACTCTGAGTGACAGGTATCACTTCCAGGTGGAGCTCTGCAAGGCGCTATGGTGTTCACCGAGCTCTCTCCCTCGGCTCCATCCGCCTAGACCCCAGGCACCGGGAGCACAGTCCCTGCTGACCCCACAGAGATGTAACCATTGTTCTGTGGTCACCACACGGCCACTGCACAGGGAAAAAAACACCCAACATTTAGGGGTGTAAGAAAATGATGTGAAAATCCTGGAAGAAAACATAGGCGGTAAAGTCACAGACATCCCACGTAGTGGACTTTTCACTGATACATCTCCTAGGGCAAGAGAAACAAAAGAAAAAATAAACATATGGGACTACATAAAACTAAAAAGCTTCTGCACAGCAAAAGAAAACAGCCTCAAAGTACAAAGGAACCCCACGGTCTGGGAAAACATATTTGCCAAGGATACATCTGATAAGGGGCTAATTTCCAAAGTGTACAAAGAACTCATAGCACTCAGCAAGAGGAAACAACCCAATTAAGAAATGGGCAAAGGACTTGAATAGGCACTTCTCCAAAGAGGACATACGGATGGCCAAGAGACACATGAGAAAATGCTCAACGTTGCTGATCATCAGAGAGATGCAAATTAAAACCCCAATGAGGTATCACTTCACACCTGTCAGAATGGCTCCATCAACATATGAACAAATGACATGTGCTGGTGAGGGTGTGGAGAAAGGGGGACCTGGTACACCACTGGTGGGAATGCAGACTGGGGCAGCCACTATGGAAAACAGTGTGGAGGTTCCTCAAAAAATTAGAAATGGAGCTGCNTACCCGGTCGGGCCATCTGTAATATTTTAAACAAAAATAAAATTTAAAAAAAGAAAGAAAATGATGTGTTCTTTCTCCTGACTCTGGGTTGGCCAGGTGGTTCTTGTTGTGCTTGTTTACCTGAGCTCGCTTATGGAGCTGCAGCCATCTGAGGTCTCATTTCAATGGGGACAGTGAAACAGCTTCAGCTC